AAACACATCAGCAAACTCCCTAACAACTAGCACATTCGAAAACCAATGCCTGCTCCCCAACCCGTGTATCAACCACATAGGCAAGATAACCCATACAACCATGTTGAATATACTGTCAAGCCATGGTCGTCGAACAAAACCCTAACCCAATCCTGGTACCCTCTCCATAGATGACCACTTATTCCCCATTTGGTGTTCGAACTACCACTTGCTGACCCTCACAATCAATCATAACACCAAACCAGCTCATCCAATCCATCCCTACTGTCATTCATGCATCCCCCATGGGAATCATAATCAAATCAATCGGATAAGGCACCCCAAAGATATCCAATACATAACCCTGATACACTCTGGATGCAGAAATCCCATGTTCGTTAGTGATAGAAACCCACAACGGACACTCCAGCTCACCAAGGGTCATATTGAAATCGCTACTAAAAGACTGAGATACAAAGGAAGGACTCGCACCTGAGTCGAATAACACAAGAGTAGGAAAGGAATTCACTAAGAATGTAATTATTAGAAACATAAACATAAGCATGCCATAAATTAATTGACAGAGTAATGGAACATACCAGTAACGGCATCTGGCACCGCCCTGGCTTCCTATGCCGTGAGCAGAAAAGCGTGACATCTACCCTACCTAAGCACCCATTGGTGATCCTCAAAATAGGTTGCGCTAGATCCTGCATCGGCCCCACAGTAAATAAAGAACAGTTGGCCTTAATATGGCCAGCGTGCTCACAGTGATAGCAGATCCTGGTGGTCGGTGCGGGAACCTGCTGGTGACAATCCTTCGCGTAATGCCTAGCCTTGCCACATTTGTGGCACCCAAAAGAAGATCGACAAGAACCCTCATGAACCTTGCCACACTTGCCACAAGTGCAACCCCTCTGACCCCAGATCTCACATCAGCGGCCATGAACCGCTTCGCCACAAGTTATGTCTGCACTATAGCCTGCCTCCGCTCCCTCACCTGGAGCTCCAACTCCATCTCCCGCCTCCTAACGGCCCCCTGTACCTCCAAAAGTGTACCATAATGTTAAGTAGACACAAACTAGTGGATGTCCGTCTTGAGCATGATCAAGCACCGAATCATCTGAGCTTGCTCAGAAGCAGCAAACTCAGGGCAAAACAGTGCCCTCTCAGTAAACATCTTGGTGATCTCCGTCACCGACTCAGTCCCGTACCTCAAGTCTAGAAACTCCTAGGATAATCTCTCCCTCTCAACCAATGGAACATATCTCGTGTGGAACATCTCAGAGAACTACTTCCAAGAAACAACATCCCTCTGATGTGGAGTGTAAGAGCTAGTAACCAACCTCCACCAATTCTTTGCCCCTAACCGGAGAAGGTTCAGGGCGCACTTGACCTTCTGTTCAGCTAGGCAGGAGCAAGTAAAGAACCATCCCTCAACATCGAACAACCAACTCATAGCAAAGATCAGATCCCGAACCCCATTGAACACTATGGGCTTCATAATATCGAAGTCTCGGTATTGGAAGGCTCTCTCTCCACGAACCCCAACGGTCGTAACGGTCGTGGTAGTTGTAGCAATAGCAGCCTCAAAAAGTGCAGCATAACAATCATCAAAGTACCCAATCATGGCGGTCTTGATAGACTCAAACAACTCCGCTATCTGCCCCCAGATGATAGTCATAACCTCAATAGAAATCAACGCCCTAATCTCATCCTTAGTCAACCACTGCCTATTTTGGCCACTCGCTCCAGCTCCTGATTCGGATCCCCTCGTGAACACCATACTGAAAATAAACCATAAAATATCAGATAAGGTACATTTCATACCATATGAGCTATTCTAAATAATGAAACCCTAGGGGTTGTGACTTCCCTGTTACGTGTATGGGTCATGTGCTTCCGGTAGTACGAGCCTATACTACCTTCCACACCTACCCGGATTTGTCTCAGAAGATCATCACAACAACCCTAATATTGCATACCAGAATACACATACATCCTATTCTCACTCCTTAGAGAAAAGCTAAACATTCCTCAACTAGTTGGTTTCTTACACATAACCCATCCATGGAACTTCCAACAGTTTCAAATAAACGCATCATGAGTACTACATACTCCCTAGGCTATCCTAGGATCCACACCTCACCCTACCATCAACTACCAAATGACCCCCATTGGTGACAGTTAACTACCACTTAAATACAATCACATGCAACATAACTTAAATAATCTTAGATTAAAAGATTCAACCCTACAATGGTTAGACTCAGAGAAGAGTTGCGCAATATGACCAAATCCTTCACTCCAGAAATATTTAACTTATGTAGCATGTGACTTAATGTATTCAATTAATAGTTAATTCACACAAGAAAGAGTCCTACAATCAATAAGCAAGAAATTTTATAGGAAATAAGGCATCATATAGTAGGCAATTCTATCATGCAATTCCTGAAGATCCTTATCCTACAACTAGCATGATGTTCTAACATAAACATAATATCAAATAACGGTGTGGGTAACTTGAGGTGTACTTTCTTGCTCCGGTTGATTGTACACATTGCATCCTTCCTTGGTTATTTTGAAAAAAAATTGAAAACCAATTTAAAACTTTTGTAGTTTCCTAGTTTGAGTCTAGATTCACACGAATGTTCATCCAATTCTCTCAAACCAAGACTCTCATACTTATTTATAACACTCCAAAAATCAAATAAATTTAAAATTTTCAAAATTAATCATTAACCATTATTGTTTACAAAAAAGAGCCATTGTTTTAAAAGCATTATTTGAAAATCAAAGTTTTTCCTAGGACCCAGTGACATAAAGCGGGAAGCAGTGCATGATCACGCCTTCAATTTTCCACGATCCTTTGAAGTATCTGAAACCATAAACTAAAACTGTAAGCCAAAGCTTAGTGAGTTCCCCCAAATAACCAACACACCACATATCAAACAAGTATATAAATATGAGTAGCCAACCTGACTCGACCGCCTCATAGGGCCTACAGCCTATTTGGACCGCTCTACAAGCCTTCGGCATGACTGCACCTCCTGGTAGTGCCTACAATCTATCTGGATCGCTTTATAGACCGCCTCACAGGGGCTACAGCCTATCCGTTCGTCCCCGGGTGTCTTGGCCTAAAACACAAAGCATGACCGCCTCAACCCAACACAATATGTTGACATATGTCACAGATAAACATAAACATAAAACCAACAAATACAAATAATCATGCAGTTCTACCAATCAATCATATATAGATGATCATACGCGGGGCGTACTACAGATGTATGTGGGGCGTACTCGTGATCTGTGGCATTAGGGCTTAACCTACGTATGCGCAACATACCGTTTGGTACGCCCAGCGCATACATTGTTTTTTCCTTCTTAACCACTTAGGAGCTTAATACTTCGATTTTTTATGTCCAAATGCAGATCCAAGGTCAAAATACCACTAAGAGTCATGAAGTTTCCATCTTTATGACTTTTCATGCCCATTAAGTGCTTAATACAAACAATCCCAACTTCTTAACATCTTAAGACCTTCTAGAGCATGCATGGGGAAGACCTAAGCATCAAGATCTCCTTTTTATGACTCAAGACCCCTCATTGGGTCTGTACGGGCGACTTATTTGATCAAGAGCATGCCATGCTCAAAAATCACAAAGGTTGGGAACAAAAATGCCCTAAATGAAGGAATATCTAGATCTACAAGATAGGATGATCAAACTAGGAGTTTTTTTTACCTCCTGAAGGTTGCTAGCAAGGTGAGAATCCCGATCCAAACTCCTTCTAATCTCCAATGTCTTTCTACTACATTCTTCTTTTTCAAGAACACCACCAAAACACACAAAAGAGCCCAAGATGCAATTTTCTCACTTAGGACTAGCTAGAGGGATGATATTTAGGTTGAGGGTGATGAGAGTGAAGGTCTTGGGGCCATAAAGTTGTTTAAATAGAGTTCGAACCCTAAATTTTAGGGTTTGAAACCCTCATACGTACAACCTACAGACGCGATGTACGCTGGCGTACGAAGCATACACCCAACATACCAATCCTCGGCCAAAATTACCAAAATGCCACTATGGGCCATTTTGCAATCCTTCTCATGAACAGGGGCCAAAATGCATTATTTCTTCAGGCATAGGATTAAATTTTAAATTACCTCATCATCAGGATGTTACATTAATAACATATATTTATCTTTTATCAATAATTTATTATAACTGTACGATGCGTGGAATATCACCGAGTAAATCTTATAAAAGAGACCACTTAAATCAATATGGTTCAAGATAGGCTTCTATCTTCCAGCATATTCACTTGAACCTCCCAAACTTTTCAAATTCTTTTATTTAATGGAACGATTAATTGTAATTTTTTTGTGTATATAAGAATATTATCTCCCATTTAGGTTACTCACATTTCATTATGATTGTTTGAAAATAAAGAAAAAGTTGTAGCCGTTTGATCTCTGAAAAATATTTCAATTATGAAATATGTCGTGGAGTCGAATACCATTGTAGTGTTCAATTTTATTAAATCAGAAGAGCATGTTGCTAGAAGTTAGAAGTTGCAAAAAGGTATTGCAATTTGGTTCATGAGTGCTACTCGAAGTTGATTGAAATGTTGTTACCCTCGACAAAATTAAAATGGTACATGGGTTATATTTTATTCGTTCACAATTGTTCTTTTTTTTTTTTTTTGCTTCATAAGTGGCTATAGTTATCTTTTATTTATCACAAGAAAAACAACACATTAAAGAATTTAATATATATATATATATATATATATATATATATATATATATATATATATATATATATATATATATATATATATATATATATATATATATATATATATATATATATATATATATATGTCAACAAAAATCTCACTACATTCATCCATATCATAGAAAGATGGATTATTAACAAAACATTGTGTTTTTCTTGAAAGAAAAAAAAAAAAAAAAAAAAAGGATTAAGATAGCATAAGCTTCTAAACACGATTATAAGCTCAAATTTAAATTGGGAGACTCGGATACTTTCAAAGAAAAACATTTTGCAACAATATATATTTAAACAACATACACAAACATTGAAACTTTAGACCACAACTACAAAATACAAAACACTAATGATGTAGTATATACCTTCAATGCACAAAGTTTGATCTAGCAACACAAAGATCCAATTCAGAGCTCCATAAAATCAGCTATCTTACAATATCTGTTGACTTAAAATGTGTAGGGGCAGAAAAAGGGAAAAAGAAACAAACAAAGAGGAAAAGAGGTAGAATACAATTTGAAAAATACACTTGAATTCACATTACAACAATTTTAAATGCTGATATCTTCTTCTTTTACATCAAGATTCTCTAATTCTGCTTTATGAGCAATTCTTCTTTTACTTTGAATTAGACGAACATATTCTGCAATAATAACATGAAATTTTGGAGCAACTTTACTAGTAGAGGTTACATTTAGCCCTGCTTTCTTTAAAGCCCTTGCAACATGTTTTTCTGCCTTTTGGAAATGAGTTGCACATAGAGAAGGAACTGTGGATTTAAGAATTGGTCTCCCACAAAGTATAGGTCCTGCTTGTGAGCTATAACATAAAGATATACAAACATTCATAAGTATCAAGAACTGGTAATATCTTTCTTCACAGATCAAACAAATTACCTAAACCAGATACATATTATGCAAATTAAAGAACTTTTTCCCCAAATTAGCAGTAGCAATGTAATCACTTTGTAAATTTCAAATTGGATCAAAGTATTCATCAATATTGATAATACCCCCAATATTAGGTCAAGTCAAATGTGGAATCAGAACCAAATGCTATTCAAAATAAAGGATACCACAACAATCAATCAAAGAAAATGAGTAGGGAAAGATACCTTTTGATCACGTAATTGCAACCCATGTAGAGTTTCTGTTTAGAATCGGACAATATATGAGCGTGACAAAACTTGGTTAGCGCCATGGCTTTTGATTTACATCCATGAACAGCACACCGACTTAAATCGCTACTGAACTCTAACCCTAACTCATCATCGCCATTCTTTTCCGCATCGATTTCAGTTACTGATCCATCATCCTGATACGGACTCTTCCCATACTCCCAATAATATTCTCTGTACTTCAATTTCAGTTCTTCCATCATACACCAGTAATGATCCTTGTAAACCCTAGCTATCTGCTTCAGTTTTCGAGATCGTCGTTTAAGTACTTCTTCACGAGCTAATAACTCGGACTTTGATAGAAACATATCTTCGTCTACATCCTCAATAGTTGTAGCCATGGAGGCGGAGGGTGATGGTTCGAGCTTAGGAACAGTGTAAGTGGTGCCGGTGGCGGTGGCGATGGCGGTTCTGTTGTTGGTGACGGTGGCTGTTGCGGTAGTTTCAGCCATAGTTTGTATCGATTAGAAGACACGAGTCGTTTGATTGAAACAGAACTTCATGATACTTGAGAGGTCAGTCAACCATGAAGCCTTGGGGAAAAGAAAAATGGAGGAGCTTCAGATCAATCTAACAGGTTTTGGACAGATTTGTACGGTCTGTCAAAATTCGATACTTAGGGTAAAAAACATCAACTTTTTTGTAGGAAAACGGCGGTAAGTTAAAAATGTTTAAAGTTTAAATGTTAATGGTTAGGAGTTTTTGACTGTTTAATCTAAAAATATATATACATTTGGGACGGCGGGATTTACAAATAAGAAGAAGGTTACGTAACTCTAACACCTTCAAAATTGATTGGAATGAGAATAAAATAAAGGATATTTGGGTTTTCGAGTTTTATTAAAAAAAATAAATAGGAGGAAATAGAAAAATCATTTTTCCTTCTAACTTTCTTTCCGATTTGGAGGGATTTGGAAAGAAAAGAAAAAAATGATTAATTTTCGTTTCATTTCTTTCTAACTTGGGAACGTAAAAGAAAATTTTGTTTCCTTTCATTTCTCTTCTTTTATCTTCTTTCTTTTCTTCTTTTCTTTTCTTTCGTTAAACTGGGGAACTACATCTAAAGGAGTAAAAAGTATGGTTTTTGAGGAAGACCGTTTGCCACGACGTGGGATGGCTTGTATTGTGTGCATACACTAAACAACTACAGTAATAAAGTCAATTTCATATAAGAAGGAACCCTAGGCTATCTGACATCATATAATCAAACAATTCTATCATGCAATTTATAAAGATTCCTAGTCTATCACTAGCATGTTATTCTCTCATAACATAATATCAAATAGCAGTGTGGTAACTTGTGGTCTACTTATTGGCTCCGACTCATCGTACACATCACATCCTTTCCTGATTATTTTTTAAAAACAGTTTTTGGAAAATCATTTTTAAAACCTGTGTAGTTCCTTCGTTTGAGACTGGATTCCCACACATATTCCTCCAATTTACTCAAACCAATGCTCTAATGCCAACTTGTAACGTCTTGAATATCACAACATATTTAAACTTCTTAAACCAACCCATTTACTAATGAAAGTGTTCACAAAACCATTGTTTCCAAAATATTACTTAAAATTAGAGTCTCCCAAGATCAATAATATAAAATCAGGATGTGTATGGTCATGCCTTCGCCCTGTCACGGTCCTTTGAAGTACCATAAACCATAAAGAAAAATTGCATGCCAAAGCTTACTGAGTTTCCACCAAAGTATCACTACATAAACATAACAAACAACAACAAGCATACAGAGCCTTTAGCCTGACTGGACCGCCACGTCAGCCTACAAACTACCTGGGTCGCTCACAGAACCTTCAACATGACTAGTGAAAGGTCACATCTATGTGTTTGGGCTAGTCATTCATATTGTAGATGTGTCTTGGTAGGTTCCAGTGTCACACCCCCAAACCCTAAAACAAATGGCGGAAACGTCTGGCAGTGGAGGACATCATATGTAGTATCACAATAATTGCATCATAGTAATCATAGTAAACACAACCATTACATTATAATATGAATAGTTACGTTTGTTTGATATAAGATTTATATACATCGAAAGTAGCAAAAGATAAAGACGAGACTCCAAAATGCTTTGTCTTCTCCAAAAGCCTGCTAGGGTACCTATCTACTGATGTCCGGAGAATACAAGCGGTTTTGAAAATGTATCAACATAAAGTTGATGAGTTCATAAGCATGTTTTTGAATTGAAAACTGGTTACTGAATTTGTATAAATGTATGTTTGCTTTTCTAGAAAATCCAATATTTTCTATCATGTTTGTTGATTTCAGTATGAATAGTATGATCCATTTGAAAACCCTGGCTACCACCAGTATGTATGTTCTTGTTTGAAACCCAGGCTACCACTAGTATGTAAAGTAGTCTTATTACTTAAAATAAAACTTATTGATGAATGATAATCCCATAAACAAATGTTAGTTTATACTATTGTGAGTTCGTATAACCATGTTAATATGACTGATGACCTCCGCGACGTTTCTTCAGGCGTCGTATGATAATTTGTCACCCCAGGCATGCCTGCCTAACTATAGTTAACGGTTAAGGTGTGGGATTGTCGGTCCCGAATAGATCTATTCACAAATCTCACGCTCTCCCTCCAGGAGACTCTGGCTATACTAAATGTAGTGGATTTACTCGTATCCCAAAGGGTACAATGAAGAGCTGTCTCACAATCTTGTATTAACTAGTTTACGTGTTGTTCTGTTGTTCTCATGTTTGAAATCGTTTGTGTACTGAGTAGAGTATAAATAGTTATATGCAAAATAATTATTTAGTATGATACTCTTGTTATCTGTATGTAGAAATGGATAAACTAAATCTATCATAGTTTCTATGTTCGACCGTCTACGTAGTTTGAATCTGTAAAACTGGTGATGAATTCCCCAAACTATACCTATTATAGTTTGACTGATATGTTATGTTCATGTACTGTTCTGAAAATTATGCAATTATGTTTAGAAAACGTCCCTTATGCTCCGCATAATACAAAAGGGAATAAATGTCTATATGTTTATGAAACACGTTGGATCGTATCAATTGCATAAGTTGTAACTTGTCGAAAACATTTATGTTTTAGTTCACAAAAATCTTTTTTTTGTTTGGCTTGTATTCCCCCTGAAAACGTTTAAAAACCTTAAAAGCGTAGGGGTATGAACTCACTATTTGCTTGTGTGATTCGAATGTCGTGTCGATAGGGATGTTGAGTGTTAAGTGAAGCCTAGGACACAACCGGATCCTATTTAACATATAATATAACATATATGTATTATATTAGGACGTAACACCATTAGATGTGGAAGGAAACCACCTTAGGGACTAAGAAACACTTGAAACTAAGTGTTAGAATCACATGTGATTGAAAGAGGGGAGTTTGCGGCCGTAAAAAGGGGTGTACGGTCATAGGTTTCGGCCGAACTGAGTTTGCGGCCCATGGGTTTATGGCCCATGGTTTACGACCCAATGGGTTTACGGCCAAGGAGTTTGCAGCCGTACACTCATGATGAAGTGTGTATTTGAGGCCGTAAAAAGGGAAACCACGAAACACTTGAAACTAAGTGTTAGAATCATATGTGATTGAAAGAGGGGAGTTTTCGGTCGTAAAAAGGGGTGTACGGTCATGGGTTTTCGGCCCAACTGAGTTTGCAGGCCATGGTTTACGGCCCAATGGGTTTATAGCCAAGGTGAAACAACCCAAAATACGACCGAAAATTTTTTGTTTTAATATTACTAAAAATCATATCATCGATTATCATATATAATAAAAACCATGGAATGAGTAGATCAAATGTCATAGTAACTGTGTCAAGACAAAACAGTATCAATCATAACAATATCCGAAATAAACTCCCAGGATATAACCGAAGTTGTGGTGTGTGCGATGCCATCATCCCGAGCTCTTCCCTTTGCTAGCGGAAGTATCTGAAACCAAAACTGAAAAATGTAAGTACGAGGCTTAGTGAGCTCCCCCAAACTACCACATACCATACAATAACACATAAACAACTATTGGGCCTTGCCCACTGCATCGGACCGAAGTCCAGAACTAACCAGGGCCTTGCCCTCTGCATCGGACTGATGTTCGGAAACTGCATCGGACCGAAGTCCGGAACTAACTGGGACCTTGTCCCCTGCATCGGACCGAATTCCGGAACTAACTGCATCAGGCCGAAGTCCGGAACTAACTGAGACCATGTCCCCTGCATCGGACCGAAGTTCGGAAACTGACTGAGCATAACATAGCATAGCATAAACATATCAACTAGCATAAACACATATACTGCATACTATATACTGCATACTATATACTGCATACTACATCGGGCCGAAGTCCGGAACACATAACACATGACATGCTTGAATGACAAAGACATCAAGCACACCGAACTACTGCATCGGACCAAAGTCCGGAACTACTGCTAACTAGACGAGCCGACATTGTGGCCATAGACCCATTCCTAATGGATGGAAAACTCACCTCGGAACTCTGACTGCTGAGATGCTAAATCCGAAACTGGATGACTACTACTCCGGAACTCCCCGGCTACAATTCCCATAAACACTAAATCACATACCGATAACTTAACTGAGGGTAAAATGACTATTTTACCCCTGGTCAAAGTCAACTTCCAGGTGAACGGACTCGCCGAGTTGGGCCGTCAACTCGTCGAGTCCCTATTCTCTCTTCTTATCCACTACTCGCTACTACTCATCGAGTTTAGCAAAGACTCGACGAGTTCTTCTTCGATAATGACATCCAGTTTAACTTCATCAGACTCGCCGAGTTGTATGAACAACTCGTCGAGTCCATCCTCATCTCATGAACACGTCTAGTCTGTGACTCGCCGAGTTGTATGAACAACTCGTCGAGTCTGTTCTTGAGGCAAGAAAATTGCTTTGGACTCACCGAGTCTGGGTGTAGACTCGTCGAGTCCCTCCATTACTAAGTTTGTGTCTCATTTCACTGAGTCCACATCCTACTCACTGATTCCACTCGTAATCTCTCAAAGAGATAAATTTGGATACACGCGGCTCGACTCGTCGAGTCCGATGAACAACTCGCCGAGTCGCTTTCATGACAAAACTATATCGTTGATTTTTTTCGATTCCAAGGCATTCAATTCATAGATCTAGGTTCCTAGAGTGGGTTTTACACGTAAAGTTTCCAACTTTACGTGAATGTATGATCAAATGAGGATTAAAACCCTAAATAAGCCAAAAGTGTAGATCTAGGGCTTTCATGAACGTTTGGCCTAATAAAGATGGTGAATCTGAGCTTCTGGAGCTCAAACACAACTAGATCTGATGTTCTTCTATCTTTACATGCCCCCCACTCACTAGTAGCTCTAGAAATGGCCCAAAAAGTGACTAGATTAAGCTTTTATGGAGATTCAATTGAGGGAACAGCAAAGGTTCGAGTTTTAATACCTCTATATGATCTGAATTGACCCCCAAAATCCTAGATCTTCTTCTTCTACTTTGGATCCTCCTTCTTTCTCCTTCCAAAACTTCAAAAAGCATAAAACACTCAAGGTCACTTAGAGAATTGCTAGGGTTTCGTATGGGACTCTTTATGGGTGAGGGAGACCGGTCCTGGGGCACATAAGATGTTTAAATAAGGTGAAACCCTTGAGATTAGGGCTTCATCCAGACAGACAGACTCGCCGAGTCCCAGCATATGGAGTCGTCTAGTAGCCAACTTAAATCGCGTGCAAATCCCGACTCTACTCGACGAGTCGGGCTACAGACTCGTTGAGTACCCCATAAGAAAAGAAA